AAAAAAAAAAAGTCACCCCAACAGCACCCCTCTGAGCGCCCCACCCCTCGGGGTGGGGTGCTGCTATAGTGGGGCTGGCGGGAGTAGGCCTTGAGTTTTCAGAGAACATCTCCTCACAGAGCCCAGGCCCTTTCTGCTGCCGCCCCTCGCTGCCCGCAGGCACATCACATCACCCCGGGTCACCCCCTCAGCTCTCTGGCCCCGCGCCACGGAAGGAAGCAGGGAGAGACTTACAAGGGCAGGGGCGTTTGAAGGACATGTAATCTTTGTCGCAGAAGAGAGGAGCCAGCCTGCCACGTGCACAGTCCTGACTTCTCACGGACCCTCCACTCACCTGCAGAGACACAAACAGGCAGGTGATGGGGGTACCCACCTGGTGCCCACTAACTCTGCAGGCTGGGCACTCACATCCCCTGGGCTGTCAACCTCTGGGGAGAGGACGAGGGCTTTGAGAGTACGTGACCATTCTGGCCTGCCGGAGTATGGAGGTGCTGGAGCAGGGGCCTGCCGGTGTCCCCGTGGTGGGTGGAGGGGGGCTATCTCCCCGGATGGACTCTTGAGAGAATGAGAGATAACACTGAGTTGCCTCCCACTGCCTGGACAAATGCTGCAAACCACTGTCTGGAAGTCCTTGAAGGACTGGCCAAGTAGCCTCACTTGACAGAAGGGAAGACTGATCGGGCGAGGAGCAGGTCAGGTCCCACAGCTGGCTCTGGAAGCATATTCATGGATGCTTTGCTCAAACTAGATGATTGTCCTCAACCCAGATGATTATTATCCCCCACACTTTAAAGGGAAGATGCTCTTTTTATTCTCGGCGTAGAAATAAGGAAGTTGAGGCTCAGAGCGGTAATGGAGCTTTGTGTTTGTGTCTCACAGCTTCTCACAGGCTGGGAGTAGAACCTGGGTCTGTTTGGCTCCAAAGGTCCCGGTGAGCCAGGCACTTAATTTGGAATATCTGCTCAGTGTCTAGTACTGGTTAAATCATAAGACACCTAATGTGTTAGATTTCTGATTCAGGACAAAGGCCTAGAGAAGGAAGGGGTCTCTGCCCACACCCCCTCCGCTACCTTGGTGCAACACCTGGATGTCCACACAGCGTGGGAGCACCTCCATCCGCAATGGAGGAAGCAGCTTCAAAAAGTGACCTTCTCCCATGCGGCTGCGCCTCAGAACTGGTCCCCACTCTCTTGGTATGTCCCCGAGTGACATGAAGTCTTGGGGACATCAGCGACAGGTGTTTGTTATTTTCAAGGGAGAGTAGACATTGGGCTTGGTGAAATCAAACTGCACCTGTGAGGGTTGCTGAGCCCAGCGGGCTCTTTCAGGGGCAAGCTGGCAGCTAACAGGAAACCCTTCCAGGTCCCAGCAGGCAGCCAGCCGGGTTCTCTGGTGGTGACAGTGACATCATGGTGGACTGAATGTTCCTGAGAGGCAGGGCCAGAGCATCCCACCCTCCTCCAGAGATCCCTGTTGGAGGGATACATTTTTCTCCAAAGAGATCCCGCTTTTTGGTAGGGTATTTGGGGGTAAACGATACTAAATTGGTTAATGAATGAATCAAAGACCTACCTTTGGAGAACTTGAGCCCAGAAGTCTAATTCCTGAGTGCTGCTATCAACACCACCACTTTCTGGCTGTGTGACTTTGGGCAAAGCACTTCGCTTCTCTGAGTTGTAGTGCCGTCACAGCAGAGGTTGTGAGAGCACCTTACCTGCTGTGAGGAGAGCGAATGTACAGAAAGGGGCTCAGGTAGAAAACACGGCTACAGACAGGCTCACTCTGCTGTCCGAGGGGGTGGAAGGAAGGGGACCAGCCGCCATGACCGAGGGGTCTTTCAGGTGCCTCCCTCACCCCAGCTCAGTGTGAACCCGGTGCTGGTCTGAGACCCACTCTCCCTCCCCACGGAAAGCAACTTGAGAGTTCCGTGGGGGGAGATGAGGGAATGGAGGCCGGGTAGACAAGTCTCTGGTGCAAGGGGCTGCTTGGGGAACTGTGGTCTCAAACCAGAAAATTCACGAAGAATCTCGGTGCCTGGGATCTGTGCTTTCTAAAAATACACGTGTTTACCTGTGTCTGTTCCTGTCTGTCTGTACGCATGTGCACGTGGCCGCTGTACATCTGGGCTGATGGATCAGGGATCCATCCTAATTTGCTTTCCATTACTTCTCCTCCCTGAGGGTACGGAGGGCTAGGGGTGGCTTCTGGAAACGACACGCGCGCGGGGCTGGACATTGAGCGGATATTCCAAATTACGTGGAACTACCATGGCCCGAAGCTGACGCACGACTTGGGTGTAGAGGCTGCCTTTTCACCAGGCACAGCTTCCTGGGGAGAAGGATGCCCATGTAAGGAGCGGAGCTATCGAGCTACGTGGTCTCCGGCGGCCGAGGGAGCCAAGTACCCACCCCGATCTCACACATGACCAGCGCCGCAGTGACGATCCCCTGCGGTATGGATCAGTGATTTGCTCGAGAGGGACTGCAGTGGGGGAGGGTCCTGTGCCGCGAGGTCACGTCACCTGCCCACGTCCGAGGAGCGTTCCTGCCTGTGACTCACCGTCCACTAGACTGTCTGGGTGGGCGGATGGCGCGCTCCAGCTTTGAAGCGGCTAAATGTGGCGCAGCAGCCTGCACGGGCTTTACCTGTACTCCGGGGCCGCCGCGACGCTCAGACCCGCGCCGGAGCGTGTGACTCTGGCAGGGAGAGCCCGGCACAGCTTCACGCCATACAGCCTTTCATGAGGGCGCAGCGCACATGCGCGTTGCCAAGTCCTCAGGAAAGTCCCGCTGCGGTGGCCAGCAGAGGAGGGGCTGCGGGCGCGGGGCGGGCTGTGCGGCGACCACGTGATGCCGTGTTGTTTACGGCGCGGCCGCTGGACTGCAGTCACGTGACGTCAGCTCACTGCATTTCCTAACAAACCCCCATTTTACAGATGACAACGTTGAGGTATGAGTGGGGTCCGGGGAGTGTACGCCTGCCCCCCCGCCCCAAGCATACCCTTCGGGGGTATTTAAGCCCGACGGCAACGTTGTTCAATTTTATCCTTTTACAAGGGGCTCCCTGGACTCCGTGAACAGGGCGGACCAGATGTGGGGGGTCCGCAGGTGGCAGGAGATGATGGGGTCTAAATGAAGGCGAAAGAACCAGATTTCGCTGGTCCCACAGGTGTTTATGCAAAGGCTCCGTGTACCAGGTTTTGGGGTGGGGATAGCGGGGCGAAGCAGCCACGGATGGTGCCTGTCTCTGTGGAGATTACCTACCAGAGGTGAGACTAGGACAGTGGCTCAATTTGTTGGGCAGCAGCAAGGGATGGAGCAGAGTGGGTAGGTGGATAGAGATTGTCTGTGTAGGGAGGCTGTGGAGGATGCCATGTATGCACAGGGAGGAGACACAGCTGGGGTGTGGCTGGGAAGAGGGTTCTAGAGCAAAGGTCCTGGGGACGTCCGTCATGGACGGGTTGGATGCAGAGTGGACTGTGTAAGGGGTATTTAAGAAGTGGGACGGATGGATCAGATATGGAGGGCGAGGGAGGGGTGGAGGATGATTCCCTGTTTGCTTGGGTGACCTGGGGATAGTGGGGCCCTTCCTGAGGAGGGGGGGGTGTAGACAGCACAGTAAATGCTCAGTGACTGTGTCCTGCTGATGAGGCCATCTCTCAGGGGTTCCATGTGGGTGTGTATGTGACTGCCCAGGGCCAGAAGGAAGTCGGAAATTTTGGATTTTGGCTGGACGCTCTCATCTTGAAAAGGCTGTATTTGCCTTGCAAGGCAGTGACTAATTCCTAGGCTGCGGGTAGGGACCCCCAGAAAATCTTTCTCCTCCGCAGGAAGGTCTTTATGTCAGGTTGCGACACTGGTGACTTCCCCAGTTCTTGGAGAAGAGCAGTCCCTGGCATATGTTGCTATGTATCATTTAATTTTCATCATCTGATTGGGTGAAGGAATGAATGAGCGAATGAACTCAGGAGAGGGGAAGGAAAAGAGTGAGAACAGAGCGGCGCAGAGGTGTGCAGGAGACACTGAGGTTTGCAAACAGGTAACTTGGTCCTGATACTAGAAAACTGATTCAGTTGTATGGCCGTCTCTGCAGCAAAGAGGCCTTTCATCTCTGTGTGACCCCACTGGGTTTTCTAGAATGTTGGAGGTCTCCATGTTGATGTACCTGGAGCAGACCCTGCAACAGCTTCACTTGCCACCTCCTTCCACACCCCTGCCATGGCTCAGCCGCTCCAGCTTGGTTTCTTGTCTAGCTGCATAATCCAGTTCAGCTACCAAGGGTGTGGAGAAGCCCCACTCACGGCTCAGAACCCACCAAAGAGGACACAGACGAGCAGCATTCATGTCCAGTAAGAGAGGGCAGACTGAACCAATTGTGGCACACACTTATAGTGGAATACTGTACAGCTGTAAAGTCCCGATTTAAAAGACGTCTTAATAACAGATTTAAGAAGTAAACCGGATATGTAATCGGTATGTAACTCTACACCCAGCTATGATTCTTAATTTGTAAATAAAAACCAAAAAAAAAAACCAAAAACCAAAAAACAAAAAATCCTATGGAAACATTCATACACAGAAAAAGATTTGAAAGGAAATAGACTAAAATATTCATGCATTCCGCTCTTTGGGCAGTGGTGGGGTTGATGAGTATTTTAATGTTTCTTATATTTTTTATGATTTTCCAAATTTTCTACAATGAACATGGATTAGTTTTACAATCTAAAAAAATCATGAAAATGAAGATTGAAAAAATCCTTTTGTGCTAACTAAATGGAAAAGTAATTGACTAAATAAGTCAGTGAGAGCTAACTCACTGAATGTTTTTAAGGCTAATTTAATTGCCTCTGAACCTGTCATTTGTTACTGCAATTTAAAAAAAAATTACTTGTCTTTGAACTTACTGATAAGGTGCTTTATTAAAATGTTAGGAAAATAATCCCCATTGTTTCTAACCTTCATCCCATTTCCCCTGATGTTTCAGCCATCTGACCTGCCAAAAATTTGAGGGGATGGTGTCTCCCACGAACCTTCGAGTTTTAGTTACGAGTAGCTTACCTGGTGTAGGTTAATGAGGGATTGCCTATAGGAAGCTGGTGCCAACAGCCTATTCCACAGCCCAGGTTTGTGCCAGGCGAGTGCCCACAGCCTTAGTGGACAGCCTCTCTCAGCCTGTACCACCTTGGTTGTGTAATTACACTCTATGATGTTCACACGACGACGACATCACCTACAGACACATTCTCAGAACCTACCTCTGTCGTGAAGCTGCACATGACTATATTTCCAGGTAAGTATGTACTTGGCAAAAATCCTAACAATAGGCCTTCTGTCTGTAAAACGTTTGTAATTTGCAAAGCATGTTAAGTGCTGGGTACCATTACTGGGTACTGGTCTAGGTGATGGGGATATCACAGTGAGCAAAATGGGTAAAAGTACCTGGCTTTCTAGAGTTTGTTCCATGGATGAGGGTAAACAGGTAAGGAACGCGTAAGATACATTGATGCCTGGGGTGTTAAGTACAATGGAAAAAATGGGAAGAAGAGAGGGATTATAGGGGAGGCAGGATTGGTCTTTTAAATTAGTTTAATTACTATTTGGCTAGAAAACACATACAGGCATCTGCATGTATAGAATTTTAAAAATTCTATAGCTGGTAGACAGTGAACATACAGAGGTGAGATGAGTGACGATATCCATGGAGGAATCACTCCAAAAGCTAGTTTATTATCTAAGATGCATGGTGCCAATCAGGTTTACAAGCTCATAAAATTATGATGAGTCATGGTGATGTTTTACGTACTTTAGGTCTAGCAAAATTAGCCCTACACCTTTCTAAGCCTCAGTCTTCACATCTATAAAATAGGGACAGCGACAGCACCTAAGTTAGAATTCAGAGGGGAAAGGCTCACGCTCAGAAAACTTCACATGTGTCCACAACGCCGACACACAAGGCTGTCACCACAGACCCCACTTGCTGTGGCTGTGTTCCCTGGGGCTGTTACACACTGGAGGTGTGTGTTCCTGGGAGGGGTGTCATACTTGCTTCTATTTTCAAAAGGAAATCGGAGTTCTGAAAAGGTAAATCTGCCCAGAATCACACGCCATAAAGGCCGGCAGATGGCCCCAAAGCTGGGCTCTCACGCACAGGTCTGTTTTGTGCTCGCTAGCTGAGGGGCTCCTGAAGCCCTGCGGCCCCCCTTTCTCCCTGCAGGAGGCCAGAGCCAATTCCCACCTTCCGGCCCCTTTCTTTGTACCCTGAGCTCTTGTGGGGCAAAGGCTTTGGGTCCTAGGTGTGTCAGTGTGACTAATCGATTATTCCCGATGTTCCCTGTGGGCTGCGTTCCAGAGGCTGGGTGAATCGGGAGTCACAAACTTCTAAATTTCTTTCTGATAAACGACTTTGGGAAGAAGGGTAGTGAGGATTATGGAAGATGCAGAGAGGTGACACCCTAGTGGGTGTGGGTGTGGCGCGGGGGGGGGGCTTGGGTAGGCTTCAGAAGAAGAAAAGGAGAGGGTTTCTGTGTTATGGAACCCCGAGGGGGTCAACCTATTCTGCCTGTCTCATTAGGTAACATGAGGACAGACTCACCCCTCCCTGGCCCCCAGTTTCAGGCAGCTGGGCCACAGGTGGCCAGGACTAGCATGAGTGTCCACAAGCTGAATTTTGTCTCCTGGCCACTTGTACCCTCTGTGCCTTCCCTCCCACCCCCAGACTCCCAGCACCCCATCCCCCACCCCCCAGGCCCAGGGTCTCACCTGCTCTGCTCTGGGTCTGAGCCCCCAGTTGCCCAGACTGGGGAGCTCTCTTCCTGGTAACCTTTCTGCTCAGAAGCTCTAACCTGTCACTCAGTCACTGGCTCCATTTCCTCCCCTAGGGTCCTCACTTCTGCTGCGTCAGGGCCCAGTCACCTGGACAAACACCCCACAGTCAGCACAGAATGAGGGCTGGGACCCCACAGACCTCCCAGGCCTAGTAGCTGCTGTCTCCACTGCCGTGTCGACCGACAGTCAGCAGTGGAACATCGAAGCCACCTGACAACCAAATGCTCTTAAGGAAAAACAATCCTCAGGTCCCAAACCTTGGAGTGGAGAGAGAGGTATGCAGAGGATGAGTGAGCTGGGGGAGGGGGCAGCCCGCTTGGGGGTGAGGAGGGGGGCAGCAGCCGTCAGCCAAGGGCGAAGGGAAAAGCCAGTCAGATAGTGTTTTCCAACCTGGATGAAGATGGCCGGCAGGGAGGGGAGCTCAGGGGAGGGGGTGTCCTCTGAGAAAGGGCAGGCCCCAGAGAGAGAGAGTTTTGCATTGCAATCAGCTGTCATCAAGACCTTGGGGGGGTTTCAAGGGCCTCTTGGGTAAGGACTGGGGGGAGGGGGTTGTCATGTCCCCACCATGTGGGGAAAGTGCTCTCCCCCCCACCATACCCCCCCCCCGCATCTACTGGCCCCAACACTTCATGAAATGACACCTGTAACCAACCTGAATGAGTTCTGTTGTGAGCCAAGCACCATATACTAAGCCATCCACAAGCAGCATCTCACAGAATCCTCTTAACTCACCTTTCCGTGTTTCAGGTGGGAAAAATGAGGCTCGGGAGAGGTTATGTGTCTTACCTAAGGTCACACAGCTAGGGAGTCAACCAAGTCACCCTCTGCTTCCAAAGCCATTAGCCATTCAGCTCACAACAGAATTCTGCTTATTTGTGGGCCCAGGAAATCGAGGCATGGGGTGAAGCCCTCTTTGGGGCAGAGGAGTCAGGAT